GTAAGATCTGGATTTCGTTTTTGTTAAGTGATAGCCAATGGCATGAGTAGCTGTGAGATGTTTTGTATCATGTTACAGATGATGTTTACGTTTGTTTCTTCAGGAGTCAAAATATTGTTCAATATAAATCATAATTTTCATTTCTTTTCTTCCATTTTCTGTTATGCTTATTACTTTAAGGCATCTCGCAGAGGAAGTATGGGTTCAAACATGTAATCAGCTTGGTAATGTGGTTGATATTGTGTGGTGGTGTGTATTCTCAAATCAACGAGAAACACGTGGGTGTCACTGGAGATATGTCCCAATGTTTCTATGGCACTCATCACGTGAGTTTGACTAGTGCTATAAGCACACGTGACAAGAAACAATGTCTCCTTAGCATTTATCCACTACACTTTCATGAGTGGGAAACAAATAAAATTTGATAAAAGAAACAACAATGATAACAATTGGAATTCGGATTCTCTCCTCTTCGTCTTCTCTCTATTACACTGGAGGGTATAGAAAATGAAGGGGAGATAGTCCGGTTCCTAATATTTGACGCTTCCAATTTTCCAAAGAAAAACTTGATTTGAAAGACTCTTCCCCCTCATTAGTTGACACGTGTCAAAATCCTGTGCAGTTGCGATGCATTTGGGCATAGACACATGACATTAGGACGTTTTCAACCTTGCAAATTTGTACTTGGTTACCGGAGGAAAGGACTAGTGCCCATAATCACATGCTTTGCTGCATGTGGATTTGTAATTTTCCTTTTTTAAATTTTTTTTTTTTATCTTAGTTGGAGTTCACTTGATCAATATTCAAAACAAATTCTTAGCTCTACTAACAATGTGACAATTGTAGTAAATGAAAGTGCGATGATTACAATTAGTGTATTGGTAAATACAATGTGATACAATGATGGTATCAACTGTATATAATTCATGTAACAATTAAGCAAAAATACACATACATTACTAGCTTCATTATCTTTAACCAAAAAGGATTCATAAAAATTTTCAATTCTCAAAACAAGCAGCCATATATTAATCTTCTAGAAAACTTGATACAGTCTAGCTAGCTATTAATCTAATATAGTGATACTTCTCTTCTTAATGTCAGAACGATACATCACTTATGGGGAAAACCCATTCCTGCTCTTTATGCTGCTTTCAACTTTGCAACAAACATCTAATGAGAAATGCTTAAGTGACCCTTTCAACTATGAACTGACAAAATATCCATAAAAAAAATCTCATTTTAAAAGACTTTTCTTAGCATTTATCACATCATAAGTCAAAGATGCATGATTGTTTTGCGCACTAACTGTCACCAACTGCTAATTTGCAATGTAACATGATTAACACAAAATGCAAATCCCACAAAACCCATGTCAAAACTGTGCTTTCCCCAGTCAAAAAGTCCACCTGTTACCTATATTACCGAAATGTATCATCTTCATATCATTTTCACTAAATTCACTTAATCAATCAATTCAAAACTTGAAATTTAACCCAACGGTTACAAATAAGAAATATTTTTAAAAGTTATAATAATTTTAACTGTTGGATTAAATTTTAAAAATCCAAATTAGATGATTAAGTGGATTTGGTGGAAAGGATCGGAAAATGATCCCTTTCCCTATATTACCTCACCAGGAGTAACTAGCAAAACAATGGCTGCTTCATTTTCTTTTCTTGTTTTTTAGGCAGCTCATAAAACTAAAAGAAGAAGATGATGAACAGTACAAAACTTCACAAATTAATAAAAAAAGCTGAAATCTTTGCTTATTTAATTTCTTTGCGAACCCCTCTCTCTCATGGGAGTCCGGAGCCGCAGAACCTGGTCGGTTTTCACGTGGCTGCCTGATCCACGGCCTGCAAATTTTGGTGGTCAGTGACACCCCATCCCTCCTCTCCCACTGTTTCATATATATATATATATATATATAATGCATATAAATGTTTTGGTTTTATAAGTTATTTTGTTTTCTAATTTATTTATTGAATACTGTGTGGTATTAAATTATCTTGGTGTAGGGATTTGAACTTTGTCGGAGGAGATAGGAATGTCAACTAGCGAGTGTAAATATACAATCTTTTTACCTCTCTGAAGAAGCTGGAACAATTTGAAGCAGTAAAAGTAATCTGGGTTCTGGTTTTTTAGTTTGTATGGAGGTTTTGTGAAAGTGTATACTAGCAACCCAATTTGGAGATGCTCTAGGAATCATGAGGACTGTGAATTACATGACCTTTTCTGTGCAGTTTTCTTGGAGTTATGGTAATTGGAAAGGGGATTTCTTTTTTGACATTGAAATGGTGGTGGGTTTCCCTCCTTTCCACTTTCGTGATGGTTTTCGGGCCCGGCAGATTCCAATGACCAATTGTAGGTAATTTGGCTGTGGTTTTGGATTTATTTTCAGTTTTTCTATAACTTCTTGATTGTTTTTAGGAGCTCATACTTTATTATTTCAATGGTTGTTGAATTTTGGTTATGTGGTTTCGAATTACTTGATTTTTGCGGCTGGGGAGAATTGAACGTAGCTCTACTTGGTGAAAGAATAAAGAACACTTGGAGGGTAAGAACGTTGGAGAGATGTCGTCGGTGTCTTTGAAAAAAATGAATAGTTCTAGAAGCAGCACTGTATCTGAACGGTGTTTTGATTACTCTGCTTCGGTTGACTGCAATATCTCATCTTCCACTAACAATGTCCCCTCCAGCACTGTATCTGCTTATCTCCGAAATATGCAGCGAGGAAGCCTTATTCAACCATTTGGTTGCTTGATTGTTGTTGATGAGAAAAACTTCGCTGTTCTTGCCTACAGTGCAAATGCCCCGGAAATGTTGGACTTGGCCCCTCATGCTGTTCCAAATATTGAGCAGCAACAAGCTTTGACTTTTGGAGCGGATGTGCAGACACTCTTTCGGTCCTCAGGTGCTGCTGCGTTGCAGAAAGCAGCCCATTTTGGGGAAGTGAATCTTCTCAATCCCATATTGGTGCATTCTAGAACCTCTAGTAAGCCCTTTTATGCAATTCTACATCGACTTGATGTTGGCTTAGTAATAGATTTGGAACCAGTAAGTCCATCTGATGTTCCAGTGACTGCTGCAGGAGCATTGAAATCTTATAAGCTTGCAGCCAAAGCCATCTCAAAATTGCAGTCTTTGCCAAGCGGGGATATATCATTGTTCTGTGATGTTATAGTTAAGGAAGTTGGTGATTTGACGGGTTATGATCGCATAATGGTGTATAAATTTCATGAAGGTGAACACGGGGAAGTTATCGCTGAGTGCCATAGACCTGACCTGGAACCTTATCTGGGTTTACATTTCCCAGCGACTGATATACCAAAGGCTTCCCAATTCTTATTTATGAGGAATAAGGTTAGGATGATATGTGATTGTTTAGCCGCTCCAGTAAAGTAATCCAGGACAAGAAATTAGCTCAACCATTGAGTCTTTGTGGAAGGATCAACATTGAGAGCTCCTCATGGTTGTCATGCACACTATATGGAAAGTATGGGTTCCATTTCATCTCTTGTGATATCTGTTACAATCAACGACGATGTTGATGAGATGGACAGTGATCAGCGGAAGGGAAGAAAATTATGGGGCTTAGTGGTTTGCCATCACACAAACCCTAGATTTGTTCCATTCCCTTTGAGATATGCCTGTGAGTTTTTGATACTAGTTTTTGGTGTACAGATCAGCAAAGAAGTGGAGCTGGCTGGTCAGTCGAGGGAGAAACATATACTACAAATAGACTCTGCTTTGTGACAGGCTCATGAGGGATTCCCCTGTAGGGATTGTTACGCAATAAGTGATGGATCATGTTAAGTGTGATGGAGCTGCATTATGTTACAGGAAGAAATTATGGTTACTTGGGGTTACCCCAACAGAGGCACAAATTGAGCATATTGCTGAATGACTTCTCAAGTACCATAGTGGGGGCACAGGCTTAACTACTGATAGCCTTATGGAAGCTAGTTATCTAGGTGCTTCAGCTCTTGGCGATGAAGTTTGTGGAATGGCTGCCATTAAGATTACCTCAAAGTTTCTGTTTTGGTTTCGGTCCCACACCACAAAGGAAATCAAATGGGGTGGGTTAACACATGATCCTGATGACAAGGATGATGGAAGAAAAATGCATCCAAGGTCATCACTCAAGGCTTTTCTGGAGGTGGTTTAAGTGGTGAACCGTACCTTGGGAAGATATTGAAATGGATGTCATCCATTCTTTACAACTGATACTGAGAGGATCATTATCAGACAAGCCTGTGGATGATCCAAAGTGATTGTGAAGGCTCCATCAGTTGATGATAGGATACAGAGAGTCGATGAACTGCGCATTGTCACAAATGAAATGGTTCGACTTATTGAGACAGCTGTAGTTCCCATTTTTGCTGTTGATGCCTCTGGTACTATAAATGGGTGGAATACGAAAGCAGCTGAACTAACAGGATTAGCTGTTGAGCAAGCTATTGGTATGCCATTAGTTGATACTAGCAAAAATACCCGCGCTCTGCTGCGGGTCTTGAAACCGTTGAAGATGATACTATTGTTTATTAGCTTTTTTCTCTTTGAAATTTCGACTGGACACTTGAATTTCGAATGGGTTTTTTCTATTTATGTTTTGTACTGTGTTTCTTTGTTTGATTATACATTGGGTTATTGATTTTGCTTTATCCAACCTCTAGAGTCTAGATGGTAGTGATGATTCGTTACTCGGAAGCTCTCATTCCACATATCTCTGCCATATTTATAAAATCATCAACAACAAAAAACAGAAAAGAAGAGAAAATACTCCAACAAACAAAAAATGCGAGACTTCTACGATCCAGAAGGGCGGATTTCTAAGTGAAATGGTGGAAAACAAACACTAATTTTCAGAGCCTTAACTAATACCAATTAGAAACACTTCATTTTACTTGTTTTCATTATTCAATTTATATCTTAAGAATAATTACTAATAGTTCAAATATTAAACGTTCCGCAACCAAAAGCACTGACACCTCAAAAGTTATGGAAACTCTGATTTCACTAACAAACACAACAAATCCAGAACACCAAATTCAGTATACATGCTGCTCTCATACTTTATGAGCATCCAAACAGAACCCAGAATACCAAATTCAAAACCCCTAAAATCAGAAAAAGGGCCCCAAAAAAGCCCTTAATACACATACCTATTTATTTTTATTTTATTTTTAAATCTAGAGTAAGATAAATTGCTTACCTACTGGTGGTGCGGTGTGATAAATTTACCACTCGATCATAATAGGGCAAAACAATTAAATCGTAAAATTAAAAACAATTAAACCCAGCAAACTTTCTGTAATTAAAAAAACATGGAAAACATTTGGCAACAAAGATTTAGAGTTAATTTATACCATGGAGTGCCAACTGATGGACATAAACAGGATGCAAAGCGAAATTTGAAAACAACAAAATATTCCAAGAAAAAAAAAGAAACAAAGGTGGATCATATAAGAATCTTCTTTCTTTAATCGTATTGTATTGCATTATTTCAAAAACTAAGTATCTAATTTCACCCAAAAAAAATTACCTAGATCAAATATTTCACAAAAATTAACAACTCCAGAAGTTACCTTCCAAGAGATGAGTTGGTAGCTTTTATCTATCCGATTTGAAGTGGGTCTGCTAAAAAAATGTCCTTTAATGACCCAAGAGGAAGACAGAGAAAACCCCATCTCTCGAATGCCCTTTCAGCTAAAAGCGGTTTTACTGTGAAAATCACAAAATCAAACACAATTTCAACATAAACTTGAAATTAAGGAAATGACTTAACGATTCAAAAGCATTGGAATTTAAATCACAATTCTTACAAATTCAGCTAGATTATGACTATAATTCGTCAGTAGCTCGACCCCCTCTTGCTCATACATGAATATCGTCTTTCGGAGGCCATGGCTGCAACAAAATAACAGTACAATTTTCCCAGTCATGTTTTTCTGCCAACATATTAATTTTGCTCAATGATAATGCCATAATTGGAATATTTTTTTTTTTTTTTGAGAAGAGCCATAATTGGAATATTTTTTATAGAAATGATGTAATGGGTTAATCTGAAATTCCGAACTTTTGGTGATGATTGAACTCTTACATGACTGCTACTGTACTTGTTCAAATCAACATAATTTTAAACGTTCGGTTGAAATCTTATGAAAATGGTGTGTGGATTTATAGCTAACCAAACGACACATTCACAGCGCCACAATATTTAACAACTACTATGCACAGATTTTTTTTAAAAATGAGTATAAGACTAACCTTTATAGAGCACCTATGAATCACTTCCAAAATGAGATACACAAAATCTGAAACAGCACCTATCCAAAGTTAAAAAACAAAACTAATTAAATAACAATTAGCAAGAACAACAAAATTTGACAAACAAAATGAAAACACCAAAATCATATAAGGGTTGAGAATCGCTAATTTATTAGAATTAGGGATTCCATTAATACAACTATGTCACTCTAGTACTAATTTTTTTATTTGGCCAAAAACAGAAAAAAACTGAAAACACCAACTTAAAAAGAGAAGGCAAATGAAAAACATTCACACCCACACTTATCAATTTACACATAACTTTCAATTTTGAATCATTTGGGCTTCCAAAATTTCATCACCCATAAATTCATATATATTTCCATTAATTCTCTCTCTCTCTCTCTCTCTCTCTCTCTCTCTCTCTCTCTCTCTCTCAAATTACAAATCTCAAAAGGCTTCACAAAAAAGTTATTGAAAGAGGCGCACACCCGCAACAATAATTCACTTTTCTTTCCAACTATCTTCTTCTCTCTCTCTCTCTCTCTCTCTCTCTCTCTCTCTCTCTCTCTCTCTCTCTCTCCAACATTACAATTACACACAGAGATCCCATTCAATCAAGACTCACCCCAAAATTGATATCAAGCTCTGTTGCACAGAATACCTTACAATTGACAGCACGTTTACAAAGGTTTTGAAGGGCTTAGATTCAACTTTCAAATATGTAAGACTCTGAGCTTCAAAACCAAAACAAACTCAATTGCACTTTTAGTTCACTAACCCCATTGAATAAAATCCAATTCAATAAAATAATAGAAAATTAAACAACCCAAAAATCAAAACAACCCCACTTGTAGTTTTAGCTCACTAATCCGTTGGATAAATTGATGCAAAATTCAATCAAAAAACATACAATTAACAACAACCCAGAAGAGACATCCAAAACCCCAACCAATTAACCATTAATCTTCCCATTGAATCAGATCTATCATCAAATTTCAATCAGAAAATAGAAAATTAAGAACAACCCAGTATTTCCACTCACCTGCTGAGAAACTTGTCCCTGTTGAGCAGCAGTAGGAACGGGTAAACTGGGTGACATATACAACCGATTAAAACACTCAACTTTAGCTGCTTCAGCTACATAACAGAAAATGAAAAAATGTTAGCACAACAATATAAATGCAGGTAAAGGAGTCAATATATGGAGCAACCATCTTGCCCTCCCCCGACTGTTTGTCTCTTAAGCTAAATTGCCATCCAAAACAAATAGAACAGACACTCACTTACCCTCTATTTCTGTAAACGGATCCTATAACCGACATCGAAGCTAAGCATCTAAAACCCTCCTTAGAAGTTAGAAGTAAAAGTTCTCTACTTTATGGAAGAATTAAGCACCTCTATGCCACTAAAAACAAATCATCCTAATAATTCACCCTCCAATTTCATGCCCGAACAAAAGAACGGAAATTAATCACCATGTTCTTTAACTGAAAAATAAAAATTGGGGTAAGCCCAGTTCTCATTTCTAGTTGAGTTCACTCCATCTAAATGCTCATCCAACAAAAAAACAAAAAAAAAATTGAAATTCCAACTTCTTTGCTGCCTCCTAGATTTTATTAGCATTCAAAAAGTCCTTAACTTGGAGCTTTAGAGCTTTGGAGCTAGGATTTCAAAACGTGAGCTTGTGAGTGCATGAGAGAGAGAGAGAGAGAGAGAGAGAGGGCATACCTGGCCATGGGAGAGAACGGAGGTTATAGAAAGAGCTATGCTCGGCTTCTCGCCGACTTGCAAAAATGTAAAAGCACAAACAGAAAGGAGAATCAAAGACAAAATTCCAAGATAAATTCCAAAAATTCAAAATTATAAGCGATTGAGAGACCTTGTTGATATTCGGAGTTAGACTCAGAGAGAGGAAGCTCCGAGTTACAGAAATGGAGGCCAGGTTTGTGCGGTTTTGGTTTTCAGAAGCAGGAGCCGACGCTATTGCAGAGATCGGCTAGAGTTGGTGTTGTTGCTGCTAGGGTTTGAGAAAGGGAAATGAAGGCCAAATGGGTGTGTTTCTGTCTGTCTCCCATCCCTCTCAATTTCTCAATCACCGACACCAACCCTTGATTTGAGGAGAAAAAATCAACCATAACCCCCCCTTTTTGGCAGCCTCACCCTTCCCTGCCATCCCACGCCTATCTCCCTCTCCGTCTCTGCAGAGCCCACGCCTTTCGAAAATGGTAGATATGTAAATAAGACAAAATCAAGGGCCCATCTCACAACAATACTGGCAAAACTGTAAATATCTTGAAATCTGTTCAGAGACAATATTACCCTCCTAATTTTATATAATTACCCACAACTCAGCCACAGAAATGATTGGCAGTGGCGTAAATAAAGCAAAATCAAAGGGCAAAAATTTGACTGTAGCTAAGCTACAGTCAAATCCCTCCTCAATTTTAGAATAGATAATTGTTGGAGATGATTCTATTGAGTGGTGAAGGACATGCTCACATTCGCATTGCAAGGTAATGCTACTATTCATCCTTTGACTCTAGAATGTTAAATCCATCATCCATGTCACTCCATTCTAGGAAAATTTAGGTTCTAAAGAAAAAATTGACACTTGACTGTTTTGCGATTATGTTTGTCTAGATGATAAGTAGACCAGAATAGGTGATTCAGACATGCTCAGAATCAGAATAGTCTTTGGGCCCTTTCAAGGTCGTACCCAGTGCACAAGGCTCCCGCTTTACGCAGGGTCTGGGAGAGATGAATTTAAAAAGGTCGTACCCAGTGCACAAGGCTTCCGCTTTACGCAGGGTCTCGGAGAGTCTTTGGGCCCTTTCAAAAAAAAAAAAAAAAAAAAAAAAAAAAAGAAGAGTCTTTGGACATTTGTACTGTCTTTGGTGATAAATAAACATGTTGTCAGATGGATAACGGTGAATGGTTGTATGAATTGCGGTTTGGTTTTCTAATTGCTAAGAGCACTTTTTTTCTGGGATGTCTGCCTTTTATATTCCTTCAAGCTTCTGGCTAAATTAATTTTCACAAAAGTCGAAGCGAATGATTCCCTTATTGCCCAAGCTTTGATTGTGTTTGGTGTGTGGGTTGCTTCCTGACCCACACCGCTCTTTACATGAATACCCTTTGTAACCAGTAATCTGGTTATCCTTTTTTCTCATAACCAATGTGTATGAAGTTCTAATAATTTAGTTGTGTGCTTTTCGTTTACCTTATATACTTATTCCCTTATACATTTCTTGGGTTCCTTCTCCTTATTCCGCAATTTCACTGATGTGATTGTAAAATGGCAGGTGTAGAGAAGAAAAATATTGAAATCAAACTGAAAACATTTGGTCAGCAAGAAAATAACAGTTTTGTAATCTTGGTGGTTGATTCATGTTGTAGCCGAGACATCAAGGAAGATGTAGTTGGGGTTTGTTTTGTAAGCCAAGATCTTACCAGAGAAAAATTGGTTATGGAGTCTATGGACAAATACACCCGTTTGCTAGGTTGTTGATGACACTGATATCGAAGGTATTGAGGAATGGTATGTTGTTTTTTTCCTTCTTCAAATCGAAGACTGTTTTGCGAAATTGTGCACCCTATCAGTTTTGTTCTTTCAATATCAGATTAGATTGTAGCGCACATATTTGTGTTTTGGAATGGCAATAAAAGAAACTTCATAACTTGTTTTCAGTATTGATCCTGATTCATGAGGAACCATAATCCCTTGTCATTTGCACTAATTTCAATCCTACTTGCAGCTACATGGAAACAAATTCTAGTGAGTTTAACCTCGGGGAAACTGTGGAGGTTGTCATAAATCAAGTTATGATTTTGAGTCAGGAGCAGCAAGTGAAGATCATCCATGATTCACCAGCCGAGGTGTCATCCATGCTCTTGTACGGAGACAATTTGAGGCTACAACAAGTCCTGTCCGATTTCTTGACGAACGCACTCCTTTTCACCCCTGCATCCGAAGGATCGCCCATTGTGTTCAGAGTGACTCCAAAGAAGGAACGTATAGGCATGAAAATGCACATTGTTCTTCTTGAGTTTCAGTAATCCATTTCATATTACTCAAACAGTTATGGAACTTGCCATCTTACAGCCTAAATTAAGAATGCTAACTTCAGTTGTGTGGTTAAAATTGCAGTATCACTCACTCAGCATGGGGAATTCCAGACGACCTAATTCAAGATATGTTTCACAGCAGCCATCGCGTCTCAAAAGAAGGGCTAGGCCTACAAATGAGCCAAAACATGGTGAAGATCATGAACGGCACTGTACGGTATCAGAGAGAAGCAGAGAGAGCATACTTTATAATACTTCCGCTGGGTCACCAGATTGGCAGATGAACCTTCTGGTCTGTGTATATTACACACAGAGAGGCAACACTCCCCCTGCAGTTTCCTGACGCTTAAACCGGAGTGGCATGTCCATAATTAAAAGCCTGTATCAGTCAGCGGCGGACCAACAATTGTTCAGAGGCTGGAGGATACTAATATTTTCACTGGCAAGCTCGGTAAGCTGCAATATTAACTAGAGATTTTAGAATGAGTAATAAAGTTTGCTTCAAGGTCGATACCAAGATTTTTTAAGCAAATACGGTTCAAGTTCAGCGGAAGACTTCCCAGATTTGGAGGGGTAGTTTGGGATGTTTGAATAATGAATAGGTTAGGTGAAGGCAGTTTGATGCTTGGAACTTAAGTTAATTTAAAGTTTATATGCTAACCCTTTTGTAAAACAGAGATTATTGTGCGCTTGATGAAATTGGACTATGCAAATATGGTCTACATACTTCAAATTCAACCAAGTTTTATGTTGTGGCCTGAAAGTTGAACCCCTTGTTGACATACTTGCACCAAGACAAGAACTTCTCCACCACAATGTTCATTTCTTCAACCGGAACCCTTTAGTTTCCGGCATCTACATGTGGATGAAGAAGCTCATGAAAAATCTAAACAATCAGTCACTTTATTGTGATTTTTACTGTGCATCAATGTATCATATATGAAAACCCTGGAAATACCATCATTGTGACTCGTTAGATCCAATAACACATTGTGGCGATATAATAATAAGAAGGGATAATACTTAGGTACTCACTAGTGAGTGCTCACCTTTTAATTTTAGCACATGTTTTATTGTTTTAAAATAATGGACATGTCACTAATTTTTCTTGTGCTTTAAAATACAAGGAACACATGACATTTTTTAATTGGGCTAAATCAAAAAGTGAGTACATAAAATACTAGTGGTGGGGTGTATTTCTGCTTACCACCTTATTTTTTACCATTTGATAAGTTTAAATTTTGAAATTTGTGTCGCCTAGGTGTGGATCATGCTCGGAAAGCAGATACATTGTGAAGCACTTAAATTGGGACTTGATATGAACGTTACAGTCAAATGCTCTTCTTGCATTATATTCCGACACTGGAACTATACAATATTTCTTGGACATGATGCAATCTGGACTGGAACTTAATAGAGTAAAGCTTGTGTTTCATTGCTCTCACTTCCTGAGCTAGGCCGGCAGATTCATGTTGTAGTCTCAAAACACAATGCCATCGAGGTAAGGTTTATTCAATCTTTTGAATGGACAGACGTGTCTGCAAGTGTTCTTTGAGCAGGTAAGGTTTATTCAATCTTTCTGTGCATGTATGTTCTTCGGGTTCCAATAACTGCATCATTAAGTTCTGTTTTGGGATCTTGAAGGCTAGTATTGCTGCCAACTTTGAGAATCAGACCAGAGAAGGGATGCAACCGGCATGCCTCTTGAAGAACATGCACGGAATATTCTTAACCTTATGCTTTCAATGTCTTTACAACACGAAATTGTACTGTCTGTGCAATACGCAACAACAGATTTGGCGAATGGATCCTATCTTGTGCTACACTACAAGAGATGGATGGAGAGTGTCTTGTCATTTGGATACCGGATGATGAGCATATTCGCTGTTCCTGTAAGGAGTTTGAGCATTTGGGGGATTTTATGCAGGCAATCCCTTCGCGTACTAGTACTGAAGAACTACTTTCAACTCCCTGAAAAATATTTTCTGCTCCGTTGGCGGCTAGAAAGTTCATTGGTTATGCTCAAATCAGCAGCGATGAGTGTGCTCAGGCCTTTCACGGGCTTGCTGATACCCTATTGACAGTCTCATTAATCTCCAAAGATTTAATTATGTTCATAGGCTCATAGCCAACTTACGAGTCTTCTCGAGCATGTTAGGCATATGCTAGTGATTGACGAATATGCTGCGATTTCTGCAGCTACTAACATCAGTGAATCTTAGTCGCCTTTGTTCATAAGACTCAAAATCTCTGTATCAAGTTAGGTGGTGCGGAAGGCATCAAATTGTAATCATTAACATTAATAAGGTTACTCGAACATTTGTAAACAAAATTAAGAAACATGGATGCAAAACATACCGACATGCTATCAACACATTTCTAATAATTTCTGTATGAAATGAGGTGTTCTGCATTCACAATCACTTCATATGCAGATGCGACATTTCTAATTTCCTCACAATCTTGATGTTGCTAAGCCGTCCTACTTAGATGCAGTTTCTGTCTATTTTTCTATCATGTATGGCTATAATGATTAAGTTCGGCTATGAAATGACGTCGGTTCTTCATTAAAGAACGGACTGGTGATATATCATTTATTACTAACAAAACATATCGACATGCTATCAACACATTTTTCAACAGTATAACATTAATGAGCATGAAGAACAAATGTCGTGCTAAGAGAGTTATTAGATGATTGTAGAAAAGGCTGCTTCTTTGTAAATACTCTTCAATTATAGCTCAAAATTTACCTGGTTACATCATAGTTTGAAACGCACCACCGACCAAGGCATGTGAACAAAGAATTTCTCGTCACTTATTATTGTAGAATGATTCGAGTACGAGACCTCCTCGAGCTGAATGAAGACATTATAGTACTAAACTAATGATCATGTGTCTATGACTTTATTTTTTATCAAGCCACACAAGAAAACGTCTGATTGGGGTTGTCGTGTTTAATGTCACCCACTCCACCGTTGTGTTTAATTGCAATACTTGTGAGTGCTTGCCTCCAAGGAAACCAAGTAAAGTGCCAACTGCCAACTGCCAAGTCAACTTCACTCTCATGATGCTCTCTCCCCTTTTTTCATCTTTTTTTTTATTCCCATCATGGTTTTCTTTTTCCCCAGTTTTTTTTTTTTAAGTGAAACG